AAAACCTAGGAGAAATTAAGGATTTCAAATGGAATAGAAATTATCTTACACTCTAGGGTCTAAGTGAAAGGCATATATGTTTAAAATGTAAAAGAAAGAAAACAACATATTACTTTCTTCTTTTTGAGACAGAGTCTCACTATGTCACCTAGGCTGTAGTGCATTGGCACTAACATGGCTCAGTGCAGGCTCAACTGCCCAGACTCAAGTGATCCTCCCATCTCAGCCACCCCCACCAAGGAGCTGGGACTATAGGCACATGTCACCACACTTAGCTAGTTTTTAAATCTTTTGTAGAAACGGGTTTTGCCACGTTGTCCAGGCTTGTCTTGAACTCTGGGAATCGAGCAGTCTGCCCTCCTTGGCCTCCCAAAGTGCTGAGATTACAAGGTGAGCCACCATACCCAGCCTCATATGACTTTGAATGAGGCATTTGCTTATGCTTTATAAGGTACTAGTAGTAAAAACTATTTAGAGTGATGCACATAAATAACGGTTCAGACATAAATATAAGACCTAAAGCTATAAAACTACTAGAATTTTCAGGAAAACCACTTCAGGACATCGGGTCTAAGCAAAGAGTTTATGGCTAAGACCACGAAAGCACAAACAGCAAAGACAAAAATAGCTAGATTGGACTATATTAAACTGAAAAGCATAGCAAAGGAAATAGCAGAGTGAAGAGATAACCTGTTGTATGGGAGAAAATGTTTACAAACTATTAATCCAACAAGGAACCAAAGTTGAGAATGTACAAGAAACTTAAACAACTCAACAGCAAAAAGCAAATAAGCCCATTAAAAGTGGGCAAAGGATGTGAATAGACATTTCTCAGAAGACACAAATGCCCAATAAATATATGAAAAAATGTTCAATATCACTAATCATCAGGGAAATGCAAATGAAAACCACAATAAGGTATCACCTGTGACAGAGGGGTTATTACTAAAAGGACAGAAAATAACAGATGCTGGTAAGGATGCAGAAGAAATACTCTCCTTTTTTTTTCTTTTTTTTTGAGACAGAGTCTCACTGTGTTGCCCAGGCTGGTGTGCAGTGGTGTGATCTTGGCTCACTGCAACCTCCACCTGTTGGGTTCCAGCAATTGTCCTACCTAAGCCTCCCGAGTAGCTGGGATTACAGGCATGCGCCACCACGCCCAACTAATTTCTTTATATTTTTAGTAGAGATGGAGTTTCACCATATTGGCCAGGCTGGTCTCGAACTCCTGACTTTGTGATCCGCCCACCTCAGCCTCCCAAAGTGCTGGGATTACAGGCATGAGCCACTGCACCTGGCAGAAGAAATTCTTTTACACTGTCAGTGGGAATGTAAATTAATACAGCCACTATAGAAACATAGTATTTCTCAAAAAAACTAAAAGAACTGCCATATTATCTGTCAATTCCACTATTGGGTATTTATTCTAAGGAAAATAAATCAGTATATCAAAGGGATACCTTCATTTGCATGTTCAGTGCCACACTGAACAGTGTTCACAACAGCAAAGAAAATACTCAACCTGTGTCCATCAACAGATGGATGGATAAAGCAAATGTGGTACATATACACAATGAATACTATCCAGCCACAAAAAAGGGTGAAATCATTTCCTCTGCAGAAACGTGGAAGGAACTGGAGGTTATTGTGTTAAGTGAAATAAGCCAGGCACAGAATGACAAATATCCCATGTTCTCTCACTCGTATGTAGAAACTAAACATGTTGATCTCATGGAGGCAGAGAGTGGAATGATGGTTACCAGAAGCTGGGAAAGGTGTCTGGGTTGGAGGGGGGGATGAAGAAAGGTTGGTGAATGGGTACAAATATACAGTGAGATATGAAACAAAGGAATGTTTAATAGTAGACTAGGGTAACTACTATAGTTACAATGAATGATTTTTTTATATTTCAAAATAGCTAGGAGAGAAGACTTGAAATGTTCCCGGCACTTAGAAATATTTGAGGTGATAGATACCCCAGATACCCTGACTTGATCAGTACATACTCTATGCATGTAATAAAATATCCCATATACCTCCTAAATATGTAAACCATCATGTATCAATTTTTCAAAAAGTATAGCAGTTTGGTACAAAAACTAGCTGGGCATGGTGGTAGCCGCCTATAGTCCCAGCTACTCCGGAGGCTGAGGCAGGAGGATTGCTTGAACCCAGGAGGCAGAGGTTGCCGCAGTGAGCTAAGATGGTGCCACTGCACTCCAGCCTGGGTGACAGAACAAGACTCCATCATAAAAAATAAAAAAAAATAAAAAATAAAAGTGTAGCAATTTAGTATTAAACTGAAAGGACTGAAGAACCTAACAAATAATCTTTAAACCAGTCAATACCGTATGTAATTTGTTTACCAATAAATTGGATGGAACAGATGGAACTTTGTAGCAGACACAGGTGGTTTATTTTTAAATGAGGAAGGAATACAAATTCCCCAGGAGATAATCTCTTTCTCTAAGAACATAAAGTTTTATGGAGGAGCTAAAATATTCTCATATGAAAAATACCTAAGAATATATGAAAGTAATATATAAAACAGAAAACTATTATATATATATTAACAATAACTTAGTTGTTGTTTTTAGTTACTGCTGAACATCCTGATAATTTAAATAAATCACTGTTTTTTCCCTAACCCTGTGTTAATTTCTACTCTGTTCCTCCCCTAGCCAATCTACTTATGTGAATGTATTTTTCCAGTCACCAAGACTAAGAATCAGTATATTAGAGTTGTCTTTGTCTTTCATCCTTCCCTTATCAGTGTCCATTTCTACTTATTTAGGCCTTCAGTGCATATTACATCTTACATTTTATAACAGTTTATACATTTTAAAAGATTTCCATCATTATATAATCACTGTGAGTTAAGCAGAAGTGATTAACATTTCATCACTCAAGTATTTATTGAGGGCCTATAAGGTGAGTGACATATAAATAAGGATTCAGAATCAGACAGGTTAAATGACTTGCCCAAGGTGACAGGATCAGTCATTACTAGCAGTCCTGTAATTCTAATGTCAACATTCTTTTCATTACACTATGATGCCTCTCAACTCATATTTGGTCCATTACTGTACATTCACAGTGGGCTTCTCTGCCTCTGCTTTTCCTTCTCCAGACTATCTTGCACATCACCATTAAATTACACAGTTGGCTGGGCGTGGTGGCTCACCGCTGTAATCTCAGCACTTTGGGAGGCCGAGGTGGGCAGATCATGAGGTCAGGAGTTCAAGACCAGCCTTACCAATATGGTGAAACTCCGTCTCTACTAAAAATACAAAAATTAGCTGGGCATGGTTGTGCCCACCTGTAATCCCAGCTACTCAGGAAGCTGAGGCAGAATTGCTTGAACTCAAGAGGTTGAGGTTGCATTGAGCCAAGATCATGCCAGTGTACTCCAGCCTGGGCAACAGAGTGAGACTCCATCTAAAAAAAAAAAAAAAAAAATTAAACACAGCTTTCATTATAATGTAGCACAATAAAGAACTTTTCAATGGTTTCCTATTGTATACAGGATAAAAATTTTATCTCTGCTTTTACACGTGAAATCTCTATTTAACTGTGATCCTCATATTCTTTTGAACATACTTTTACTTTTCTAAGAGTATGCCTTTGCTTTTAGCAGTGTTAACCTTGAGTTTCAAGTCTTTAAATAACTGTTATTGCCATAGACCTAGGTATTTATGCACCAAGCATTAGCTATAGACTACATATATGTACAACAGCTACCCTGTGTGTTTTGAGAGAGGATACAGAACTTCTAGTAAAGTTTTTGATAGTAAAAAAAAAAGTCCCCGTGGCTGGGTGAGGTGCCTTATGCCTGTAATCCTGGTGTTTTGGGATGCCAAAGCAGGAGGATCACTTAAGACCGGGAGTTTGAGACCAGCCTGAGCAACATAGTGAGACCCTGTTTCTACCCCAAAAATAAATAAATAAATAAAAATGTCAAGCATGGTGGTGCATGCCTGTAATCTCAGTTACTCAAGGAGGCTGAGGCGGGAGAATCAGTTGAGGCCAGGAGTTCAAAGTTTCAGTGAGCTGTGATCAGGCCATTGCACTTCAGCCTTCATGACAGAAAGTCTGTCTTAAAAAAAAAAATCTTTTAGAGTTTCACTTCTGATAATTAAGAACTAAGTGGTTTTGATCATACTTCTGCTGTGAACAAGTATAAAAGGTAGACCAAAATAAACAAACACCCGTTTAAAGGCACTTGTTAGTGAAAAGTTGTACTTTCCACTATCACAACAAAGATAAAGGCAAAATATGCGGCAGGCGTCTTTAGATTTGGAGGCAAAACATAGTACAATTGGGTAAGCTGTTCTTAGATGCTTAACTGTAACTATAAGACTACCAGTTTTGGCCAGGCACAGTGGCTCACACCTGTAATCCCAGCATTTTGGGAGGCTGAGGCAGGCAGATAACCTGAGGTCCGAAGTTCAAGACCAGCCTGGCCAACATGGTCAAACCCCGTCTGTACTAAAAATACAAAAATTAGCCAGGTGTAGTGGTGCACACCTGTAATCCCAGCTAATTGGCTGAGACAGGAGGATCCCTTGAACCTGGGAGGCAGAGGTTGCAGTGAGCCAAGGTCTTGTCACTGCACTCCAGCCTGGGTGACAGAGCAAGACTGTGTCTCAAAAAATAATCCAGTTATGAGTGGGGTGGGGCCCAGACTTAGGCTTTATGATTCTGTAGACCCAATGGTATTGGAAGTTAATGTAAGAGAGATGTTATATGAAGCCTCTGGCAAGTTTCAGTGCAAGAATTGCAACATAGACCCTTAAGGTTTTGGAATAAGGCTGTATTTTCCTTAACCGTGGTTTTGTTTCTTTTTTTTTCCTTTGAAAAGCACCTGTTGATTTGTGCTGGTACCTGGAAGAGATGTAACACCTGATCATGGGACATCAAGTGACTGTGTCAATCAAACTGCGCATCATGAATTGGTGTTATTTGACTCACCAAATTGTACAACTGAATGAGCACAGGAACAGTGCACTACATATGGGACTGGAACCATGAATGAGCAGGTGACTAGACTCCTATAGTACCTGCCTCTATTCCTTCAACAATTCTCCCTCAATGCACATAAACTGTCATCATAAGGAGTTCCCTCTGACCAGTTAATGGAAGAGAAAAAAGTATGGATCTTATGGATATCCTAACACATCTCTGGCCATTGGACCCCTAGAAACCTGTGGCAAGTCCTGGAAGTTTTTCAAGGTTCATCTTGCACCTTTCTTACCAAAACATGTAGAATGCTGCCTACTTCTGCTCATCAGTTTTATTTAATATAATTTCATTACTATAATGGATCAGTATGATGTTCTATGGAATCACAAGATCATCAAGGTCCCTTCATACCATATAGAGAACAGGAGAGTTGATGTAGCCTGAGACAAGACAGTAAGGACTTACTGTTGTCCCTTCTATGTAAATATTTCAATGCAGTTTGTTTCTGATCCTCCTTATGAGTAGAATGGGGGTGGGGGACATTTCCAGATCAATATCAGATCAGTATCATGTCAACATGTATATTAATTTCTTCCAAAGAAGATACCACACCTAGAACTGTCATTCCCTATGATGAATCTGGTGGCCACAGGAAATTTAAATGGGAATGTGGTATGAATCACCTTGGCAGCATGGTGGCACTAATCTCTGTAATTTCTTTTGCTTTTTTATATTTTGTAGAAATGGAGTTTTGCTCTCTTATCTAGGCTGGTCTCAAACTCCTGGGGTCAAGCAATCCTCCTGCCTTGGCCTCCCAAAGTGCTGGGGTTACGGGCATGAGCTACTGTGCCTGGCCAATCTCTACAATTTCCTCAGGGATATCGTACTGCTTTTCCTTTACTATGTTAATAAGGAGTGGCAGAAAGCAGACCTAAGCTGCTGTGTAGCTCTTTCCACAATGATGGTACTCCATGGATCAGGAACCAAAATAAAGTTTGTTATTAAAATATATCTGTTACTACAACACGTGGGACTGGAGAAACAACCACAGTATGGGCCACTCTGGATGCACTGTTAGCCACAATCAGGCCAAGATTCTATCACTTGACTTGCTTAGGTCCCCTATTTTGACCACTTGTCCAAGGTAGAATTTATAGTTTTGGGTTTCTAGTATTAGTACAAGTTTAGAAACAGTGCCTTAAGAAATCTGGCCAACAGGGTGTGGTGGCTCATGCCTGTAATCCTAGCACTTTGGGAGGCCAAGGCAGGTGGATCATGAGGTCAGGAGTTCAAGAACAGCCTGGCCAACATGGTGAAACCCCATCTCTACTAAAACTGTTAAAATTAGGCAGGTGCCATGGCAGGCACCTGTAATCACAGCTACTCAGGAATCAGAGGCAGAAGAATCGCTTGAACCTAAGAGGTAGAGGTTGCAGTGAGCTGAATCACACCACTGCACTCCAGTCTGGGCGACAGAGTGAGACTACCTCTCAAAAAAACAAAACAAAAAAACAATTCTAGCCAGCCCGGCCAACATGGCGAAACCCCATCTCTACCAAAAATATAAAAACTAGCTCAGCATGGTGGTGGAGGCCTATAGTCCCAGCTACTCGGGAGGCAGAGGCTATAGTGAGCTGAGATCACGCCATTGCATTCCAACCTGGGTGACAGAGTGAGACCGTGTCTGAAAAACAAAACAAAAAGAATTTGGCTTATTTTGCTAATTGTGGCCATTTTGTCTCTGATATGTATTTATTTATATTTTTAGTTATTTTGAGATAGAGTTTCGCTCTGTTGCCCAAGCTGGAGTGCAGTGATGGGATCTTGGCCCACTGTAACCTCCACCTCCCAAGTTCAAGCCATTCTCTTGCCTCAGCCTCGTGAGTAGCTGAGACCACAGGTATGCACTACCACACCCAGCTAATTTTTGTATTTTTACTAGAGATGGGGTTTCACCATGTTGGCGAGGCTGGTGTCAAACTCCTGGCATCAAGTGATCCACCTGCCTCAGCCTCCCAAAGTGCTGGGATTACCGACATGAGCCACCGCACCTGGCCTGTCTCTGGTATTTATATGCCATTATGTGGCCTCTACTGCCTTGGGATTCTAATGTTCCCACTAAGATCAGTAAACCCAGTTCCACTACAGTATTCATCACCATTATCTCTTTTTTTTTTTTTTTTTTT